AAAATTTTTAGAGTGTATAAAATGTTCAGATATTCAAATAGACAGAATTTACTGAATATAATTATTTCAAGATATCTTGTGTTACAGGAAAAAAGAAACTGCAAAAGTTCTGCACAACAAGATGAAGACTTCGATATCAAGCTGTTGCAGCATTTTTAGGATCTAAAAAAGTCTATTTTGCATGCTCTTGGAGAAATATCAGAATTATCTAAAACAGGTATTTCAATTAATACAAGCGCAAATATGAGGACCTTTTCTTCATTACAGAGAATAAAAACCTATGTCAAAAATATTACTTCTTAAAATTAATTGAATAGATTAGCTTTACGCATCGAGATCTAATCTCAAATGAAAAATAATATAAAAAAATTGGCGCAACAAGGAAGATTAAATTTTCTTTTATGAACGATATATTTGAATATATTTAGGTTTGAACGAATAAAGTCCCAAACCTTCCCTGATCACCCCTAAGATATATATATATATATATATAAAACAAATTTAAAACAGAGTATAAAAAACAATTAGCTATTATAAAAATATATCATATATATATAAATTCTTAAAAAAGAATTTAAAAAAATCAAATTAAAAAAAAACAATTAAGAGATCGGTTTAGCATTGCTTTATGGAACCATGTATAGCAATACAATTACTTTGAGGAATAGCCATCGTAATAAATTGTTTGAAATAAATAGGAAGCTTCATTACGATCGCCATTTATTTGGCGTAATGTGATAAATTTAAGGAATTTCTAACCAAAAACACCAAGAGTTTGGTGACAAGTAGGATAAAAATTACGTTGATGTCTGAATACTTATTAATTTTCAAGATTTCTGCCGAAGTAACTGCTAAGGTATTTCTGTTAGATCGTACCGAAAAATTGATGAATATGCAATCCAAAGCATGGGACGACCAGTTGACCAATTCTTAAAGTTTACGAGGAAAAAAATAATAAATCTTTCAAACTCGCCTATTAAATGTAATAAATAGCCACCACCTTTACTAGATGCATTTACCGCCAAAATTATTTCCTAATCATTGTTAAATTTTTTCTATAACAAATTAAAACCTATTTGTTGTTCACCTTGCCACTCAAAATGAACACACTTTTTTTGCAAAATTTCCCACAAATCTATGATAATATTTTATCCTACCTAGAAAACACTGCATTTCCGATTTATTTGTTGGCGAACGCATATTTTCTTAATTTTTATTTAGAGGACTTACCTCAATTCCAATAATTTTATGACCTAAATACACAATTTCTTTCTGTCACCCGTAAAACACTTTTATCTAGACTGGTTCTTTAAACCTTGTCATGAATCCTTTCAAATACTTCTTCAAGACGATGGCTATGTTGCTCCGGTATTACTCCCTAGTTAATACATAGTCCATATGATAAAAAAACACTCTCCAAAAAATAGGCGACACACTTAGCCCACAGGTAACCTACATAAAGCAAATAAACTCTCGAAGTTGTTATTTTAAAAATTTACTAATGCCCTCTAGCAGATGAAAAATCTACCTTGGAAAAATATTTCCCGCACCTTAAATTTGCCCAAACCTCCTCAATTCTGGGGAAGAGGGTACTTAATCTGTACAACCCATGGATTAAATGTTGCACGAAATTCAGCGTACAGTCTTAATCTTCCATTCAATTTTTTTTATCGAAACTAACGGAGTGACCCAATTATTATACCAGATAGGTACAATAATACCATCTTTAAACCAATTATTAAGTTCAATAAAGACTTGTTCTCCCAATTAGAGAGGTACTCGTCGACATGGTAAAAAAAATGAGTGAAAAATGTTCCCTAAGTTTAACATCTACTTAAAATTCATTTAGACATCCCAAAGCATCTTCAAAAGTTATGCCATATTTTTTCATCAAAATAGGTATAACGTCACCCATTATAATGAATTAATTGATCAATTTCAAAATCATTAACAATATATTGAGCTATCCGGCTCGGCAATTTAATCATTTTTTCTATGATCTTCACTATTGATATTTCCTTTGTGAAATTAATTTTTTCACTCCATAAATCAGCCATTTCTAATTCTCTAATCCTATTTCTCATGCTATCTGCTATGATTTTCCTTTCCGCATAATATAAATCACGATCTTTTGTAAAAATATCCCAATAATTATCTTAAGAGCCTAATTTAGTGATCCAATTTTAACCCCATAATAGTTTCAACATCTTATTTTTTACTATCCTATAGATATGTTGTCAAATTAATAAAATTACTCCCATTTTGGCCTTGCCAAAATCATAATTTTCGATCTATCAAATTGCTTAACACGCCTAAACACCTTTTCAAAGCTGCCCTCTGTCAATATTTTTTATATTATATATATAATATAATTGAAATACTTCCTCCCGTGTCAAACAACATTTCAAAATACTTATGGTCAATCTTTGAACTAACCCGAGTGTTGTAGCTGTTGAAAAAAAGGAAGAAATAAATGTAATTTAATACATCAAATGTCAGTTATTTTCTGACAGGGGAATTGAGTTTTCCTAGTGGAAGGAGGAAAGACGTTATCATCACATGGTTGATTGTCAGTAAAAAGTCCTTTGTTGGAGATTGGATTCGTTCACAAATTATTTTTAAAATAATAATGATTTTAAGATATGCATGATTTACCCCCTCTGTGGGTATCCATCCTCTGCCTTTAAATATTTCCTTGAGCTGCAGATTCCTTAAATTGGAATTGGGATTTTTTAAATTCAAAGTGGTGATGGAAAATTAATTCATTTGAAGTAATTAAAAAGAAGATTATAAACTACAAAAGAGTGAATTTTCCATATGTAAAAATGAAAGAGGTGCATACGTTCAAATATTTTAAATGGATTTGGAATTCGTTATGGATTTAAATTTGGACGAGATGAGATCTTAGATTATAGTGAACATGGATTTACAAAAAGCATATTGTTTCAATGCTTGATGAAAATAAAGATGCTTACGAGGAAAAATAATGATAATAATCGTTTTTCAAAATGGACAAACATAACCTTCTAAAAAGCTAAATTGTTTGAAACCTTTCCCTCATCTGATTTCAAAACCTATTTCAATTAGTAACTGGTTTTTATATTTTTTTAGTCTTCCTAATACAGGTATATTTCGATTTTATTTTTTCATTAGCTGTTTCATCAAAATGCTATAAATTAAGAAACATGTTGTTAGTAATTTGTCTACCATAGCTTTGCCTTTATATATTTTATTGTTACCATAACTTAAAATATAATTAACATAGTATAAATATGTGTAAATTTTAATACTTTTATCTGTAATCTGCCTACACGGTGATAGTCTATTTATTTTAAAATGATTTTAGTCTTAATATACTTTATTTTTGTCCAGATCTTAAAATGGGTTTAGTAGTTCTTCTGTTTATAGTATATTTAACCAACATATAACAAATATATTTAGCTGCTTAATAAGTTTAATGGTTTTAAAGTAAGCTTAAATTTCATATATAGTAAATACTTGGTTGAAATTATGTTTTAAACTTCATTAAATAAGTACATTGAATTAGTATATATTATAACATTTAAATGTTTTAGATTTAAATTTGGTCAATTTTGTAGATTTTAGAGATTTTATGTTTTATTAGTAAAATTAGACATATTATTTTATGTTTTACATTAATTATGTTGTAGCTCTGTGTTTTCATATATCTTTAGTTCTTATTTTCACAAAAGTAGTTTATCTGGTTGACATTTATGATAACAAATTCTATGGCTTAGAACTTTTTGTGTTTGACATAACAAATATATTAATGTTAGCACATTGTAACATTATTTTGAATTTAGATTTATTAGATTAACGAAATATATATTACATTTTACTTTATTTTTATACCTATATTTTCCTAGTATGTATGTTTTAGGTTCGTTTTCTAACTGTGCATTAGATTTTATTTTTATACATATATTCCTTAGTATGGATATTTTAGGTTCGTTTTCTAACTGTGCATTAGATTTAGTATAAATTTTAATCAAACACAACGCTAATATTATATTATATATATGTCGTATTGGAATCTCTTGATTTTAAATCCTTAACCGAGAGCGATTTAAAAAATTTTTAAGTTCGATTTAACCGGAAATGTATTCTAGCATGGGTAGAGTACCCAAACTGTAAATTTCAAACAATTTTGCCATGAACTTTAGAACCACTTCTAATTTATATTAATTTTTATATGGATTTTACATATAAATTAAAAAATACCAAAATGTCCATCGCTGAAATTTGCTGAAATTTATAGGGTAAATACTCTGCACATTCTGGAATACAATTCCTGTGAAATCAGATGTTTAAAATCCAAAAATCGCCCTTAGTAAATGATTTAAAATTGAGAGATTCCGAATCCCCACGAATTCCGAAACCCCATACGACATATATATTATTTTATATATATATATTTTACGTATTTTATAACGCTTAATTTTTATTTCCCTTTTCTCTCACTCGCTAATATTTTTAGAACTCCCTCCCAAATAGATTTTTATTTTACTTATTCTGTCTATTTATTAATTTTATTTATGTTTTCTTGTAATTTCAAACGACTATTAAAATTTTAATCTAAATACTCATATTTTTAACTTCTAGGCGCCACTGTTATATTAATTCTTTTGTTTTCTCTCAAAATAAAAGTTTTTCTAATATTAGGCGTCATCGATCTCTCTTTTCTTAACATTTAAATTTTTCTCTTTCTTGCTTTTTGGAAAAAGGTTATACAACTTGTTATTAATATTTGTATAATTTATTTAGAGATAGTAAAATTCATAATTTTCGTTATTGTAAAGTGATTAGGTTATCCCACCCTGAATTTTTCCCCCTTATTATTGTTTTACTTATTTATTTATTAATCATTTCCTTTTCCATAGTCTTCTGTTATACAAAAATTTTGTAAAGTTTTACTTTTATTTTTTATATGCTAAGTTGAATTTTATTTCCCTTCAAATTTTAAATCTTCTTCTATTATAATGTCTATGTCAACTCGATTTCCAAATGTGCACAGAGATATGGAGGTATATTTTTCTTTATACAGTCTTAAATGTAATTTCGTTTTTCTTTATTAAAGATTTTTATTTTTTCTCTCCCATCTTAGGGTAGTCTTGCTTGTTTCGATGTTGTCGTTATTTCTCATTTTATTTTTTATACTTTAGCAAATGCATTCTTCAAACTTTTAATTTTAAATAGTTGTTAGCTCGAACGTTTTCACTATATAAATCTAAATTACTACGTTAACTATAGTTTTTAAAAAAATTTTTTCCTTCATGTCAATTTTTAATTTCTCGGTTTCAAACTAAAATACCGATATGGTGGTAAATCTTTTCCTATTATAGAGAGATACCTTTCAAAAATCTCTTTTGTCATCTTTTTTCATAGACATTTCTAATAGGCAGATTTTCCCTAAATGTTATTTTTCGATTTTTTTTTTTTGTTTTTTTCAATTTATTTTGATCTTTCTTTAATTGACTATACGTAGTTTCTTAATCTTTACATAAGCTATTACTGGTGTTTCGATAAATTAAAATTTAGGTAAATTAGGGGTAGAGAAAGCGAAAGAATTTAAAATTTTATCTATATCTATTTGTTTAAATAAAGTTTTTCCATGGATAAAATAAATTATTGAGAAAATGTAACTTTTGTAATAATACGAAGCCTTGCTTTAATAAATTGTATTTTACTCATTACTCTTTCAATTTTAATTTTACTTATTACTCTTTCAGCAGTACATGTGGTAGTAGGAATGATTAAATAATATTTATATAAAATTATTAGGAAAGCAGAAAAATTTAAAAATAGACGATAGGGTAAATAAACGAATAGTTTTCCAATCTGTATCTTATTTCCCTGAATTATTATTATCATCTGAAGGAAAAATTTTTAACTTTCAACTTAATACATATTAATACACTTGTATCATTACCTTTAATGGTATTAAGCGACTTACATTATCATGTCTGTATTAGTATAATCATTTTTCCTGATGGTTTATATATTTATCTATTTATATATTATACATATCATCAGATATGACTCTTTAGATCTTTCAGTTATAAGAATCTTTACGTTCCCCTAAAATAAGGTACAACTTTACCATAAGTAGTGAATTAATGTTAAATTTTATTCTTACTTACCAAAGCTGGTACCTTACTAGGTATCTAGAACTGTTTTGGTGAATCTTCATTTCCAATGGTCTGATCTTTTCATTATAGCATCACTATCCTAAATTTTACGATAGTTAATTTCTTAATGACCTAGTTTCTTATGCTTAAATACTTTGTTTAGAATAAATTTACAGGCAAGATTCAAATAGCATCTTTTAACATTAATGGATTGATGAATAAACTGGCAGTTCTTTTAAGGATGTTAGTGGCGGAGAAAATTGACATTTTGGGCATCCAGGAAACCCACTACCCTGGAGATATTACGGCTAATTTTAATGACTATAAAATGTTTTGCTCGGGTACTACCTCCAATAGTTGGTCAGGGATCGCTTTCCTCATTAATAAAAGAATGCAGAAATATGTCATGAAATTTGTACCCATCTCGGAAAGGTGTGGGCTCCTATAATACGAATTTCAAGCCTACAATAATCGTAAATTTCTATGTCCCACCTAAAAGGAATGAGCGATCAGCCTTTATAGATATAATGATTAACATAATACACTCCTTACCAGAGAGATATAACATCATAATATTAGGAGATCTAAATATGGATATAGGCAGAGAAGTGGAATATATGAATAGAAATGTCACTGGGCACGCTACCTTAATACAGAGTAATAGCGAATACAGTAAGAAATTACTTGACTTCTGTTGTAATAAAGGTTTTAAAATTGAAAACACTTTTTTTAGTCATAGTGATAGGAGTACGTATACCTTTGTAAGAGCTCACCAGCAATCACAAATTGACTTCTTCATCTCGAATATTCATCGTTGGTTCGTGGATGTTAAAGCGATAACTAATATGAACTTGTCAGATCATAGACTGCTTAGAGCAATTATTATAGATAAAAATTTATGGGGGTATCATAATGGAAACAGACAATCTTCTACTAGATCTAGCGCTACTCCCTTGTGTAATGGAATAACTCGTAAACTGAGTAAAATAAGAACATTAGATGATGCAAGATATTTTGATCAGATATTAAGTGGGAAAGAAGCCAGCTACTTGAATACAATTAGGCTTGCAAGTGTTGAGAAAAGTTGGAATCTTTTTAAAGTTGTTCTTGTTGATACATATAAAGTACTGCCAGATGTAAGTCTTATCCATAGGAAGGAGTGGATGGTGAATGATACCCTGGAGAAAATAAACCAGTTAAGAACAGCGAATAGCTCTAATAAGGATCTTTGGAAGATGATACAGAGATTACTGCGGAGAGATAGACTGGTTTATAGTGCGAAGAAAGCGTTTGATATTGATAAAGATGTAAGAGAAAATAGACTATATGATGCATATAAGAAATTAAAATATTTTTGTAAACCTTACAGTTTTCAGAAGTTACCCTCTATAGTATTAAATAATGGTAAAGTAATAATTGATCAAGATGAACAGATGGCGCTGTGGCTCGATTATTATATTACGGTTTTTGATGGACGTAAAGTAACTAGATCAACTAGTGTAAATATAAATATTGCTTCACCCCAGTCTGGGTTCCCTGTAATGGAAATTATGAATGTAATAAAGAAATTACGTAACAATAAAGCTCCAGGGCTTGACAACATTACGGCGGAACATCTGAAGATAGCACCTAGAACGACATCTTCTTTCCTACTAGCGCTATTCAATAAAATATGGGAAAGCGGAAGTACCCCTACAGAATGGAACAAGTCCCTTTTATGCAATTTTCCCAAAACTGCAAATCCTCAAAAATTTACTGATTATCGTGCGTGTGCTCTAACATCTTGCGTGTCAAAGATATTTATGGTACTTATAAAGAATAAGATTGTTCATTCGACGCCTAATCTTTTTTCTAAATATATTTGTGCTTACAGGCCAAATAAAAATATACTAGAACCTATATTATCTCTGAAGATAATAATGCAAAAGTGTTATAAATATAGGATTCCGTCATTTTACACATTTATTGATTTCAGTAGAGCATTCGATAATGTTAATTATGAAGCGTTGTGGGAAACGCTTGTAGAATGTGGTATTGAAACCCAGATAATTCGTATCTTAAAAAATCACTATTCGAATTTATTTGCTTGTTTCAAAATAAATAATAAAATCTCTCCCTTTTTCAGGATTAAAAAAGGGGTAAAACAAGGCTGTACCCTCTCACCTCTCCTGTTTAACATAATCATCAATAAAATAATAAGAAGTACTGGGAGCTGCAGATCTAGTAGACATAGGATCTAATGAGAAGATTTTTTTTATTAATAGGATAACATCCTATGCAGATGATATTGTAGTGATTTCGAAAAGTATTGAAGAGACCAAAAATCTACTTTATCTAATTGAGACAGTAAGCTATAAAGTTGGACTTAGGATCAACTTTAACAAAACGGTTATTCTTCCCTCCCCAAACGCGCCTTCAATTCAAAATTTTACAGTTGGAGTGAATACAGTGAAAATAGTAGAGAATGTAAAATACTTAGGGGTAATCTTAGATAACAAAGGAAGTTGTAAAGATGAGATGAAGATGAGAATACAGAAAGCTAGAGGTGCGTTCTACAGATATATGAAAATATGGAAAGCTAGTGAAATTTCAGTGTTTACTAGATTGAGGATATTCAACTCGTTGATTGTTCCAATTGCATTATATGGTGGAGATATCTGGGAGGCAAATAAAACAGAGATTAGGCGTCTTCAATCTTTTATAAATAATTGTCTTCGCACGATACACGGGATTTTCTATCCAAGAGTTATCTCTAACTCAAATCTTTGGAGGAAGTCTACTCACACACCAGTAAATATTACTCTTAAGGAAAGACGGATTCAGTTCTTAGGCCACGTAATAAGAAACTCAGATAATAATTTAGTCCACGATGCCATAACATGGCTGTACTCATATAATGGTAAACAATACACAAAATACAAAACATTATGGTATTATAAAACTATAAAAGATATAATGGACCTAAACGTGAACATGAAACAATTCATTAAACTGAATAACAATAAAAGATCCATTAAAAATCTGTTTCGCATCAAGAAAAGTTACCTCTAATAAGTATAAAAATACATCTCAGAATGTATGTTTCACTATCATTACCCATTAATACCTATCTCATATTTCCCATCGTAATAAATTTCAAAAATTTAAACTCATCATTATCAAACATTTCCAATACCATCAAACATTCAAATCCTCTTATAAATTTTTGTATTTCCTTATTGAAAATTGTTTTAATATAGTAAAGATTTTTAATGTTAAATTGTCCTCAACCCACCATAACGTAATTAACTTTCACTGTAGTTATTGGGTATAGGCTCTTTTTTTGTCCCATTCTCTTTTGAATAAGCCTATAGAGGTTTAAGTAATATTTTTCGAAATGTTGCGCCTACAAGTACGTGCGGCTTGCCCACAAACGTGTGGAGGGCTCCTCATATTTTAACTTTTATACCCAAATTAAATTGTTCCAATAAGATGGAAACGAGGAAAACCTAGCGTAGCTCTGTTGCATTTCAACACTAGAGGGCATAAGCGTTATATATCACGTATCACGTTTGTTGGAGATTTGGAGTTTATATATTGGATTAATTGGAGAAGATGTCAGCTGGGAAGAACTAAGAATGGAGAAGATTCAACTATTTTTATAAATATGAAATCTTCTGATAAATATAATTATGAATAAATATGGATCTTCGTTAATGGTCAATGGTATTTATTTAATATTATTAGAAAGAATTATTTTGAATTGTTAAGTTATATAATTGAGAGTAAAAGGCATTTTTATTATATCTAATTTAACTTATAAAACCGAGTGCATGGACATCGACAGTGGTCGATTCTTACGGAATTTAAAACAAATTCTTTCTTTTCTTTTTTTATGTTATTTTCAGTATCTACTGAAATTTTATCAAAACAATATTACCCACAGATATCCTTAATTTCGTAGAACTGGTCCCTTCCGTTTTTGCAACCCCCCCCCCCCCCATCTTTTTACGATTATTTACTTGCAATTCTGACATTATATGTCACTGCCTTAATATTCCCTTATTTCTTTCATTCTTTTTCCAAATCACTTTTAAATTTAATATCAATTTTATTTGCCCTTAAATTCGATACTGAATAGGTATTTCATTTTAATGTTAGAAATATTTTCTGACATCTTTATAATTCCCTCTATTTTATATCTATCTAATTTCGTCATCGAAATTTTAGGCCGGGACTCGTCATCTCTTTTCTACTTTTTTGAAATTTTTTTAGTAACTTTACTATCTTTATGGTAGACATTATTACCCTTTTCTAGAATTTCAATCCATTGGCCATCAATTTTATTTTTATGAAATAAATTTCCATAAAAATAGTTCTTTCAATAAATTAAATTTCCACTGGAATTTACTTAACATTATTCCAATTCCCCCTTGGAATCTTTAATATTTATATTATCAATCAAATTAAATTTATTATTAATTATTGGTCCTACCTCTATATGATCATTTCTAAGATCATGTAGTCAAAATTTATGACAATTTGAGGCAATATACCCTAACTCTAGACACCGAAAACGCTTACATTTCGCATCGGCATTAACTACCATTTCTACACCCTCCTTTGTTGCACTAGGTAAATTAATGTGCCTCCGAACTGCTGGAGGAATTTATTTTCAAAGTGGAAACCCCAGGCAAAAATTTCTTCATGAACGAAACAATTTCTTTCAATACTCCATCTATAAGAACAATGGTTACAAATAATAGTGTCAAATTTATTCTTTGAGTCAACCCTCTTTATAATTTTTTCTTGTATCCTCTTTAATTCTCTTATTCCACTTAATATGAGCCTAGTACTTTTATCTTCAATGGCTTCACACCTTTGAATTTCGTCTAAAATCACCTTTAAACAACTATCCAAATCCTTGAATATATATGGCCTTATCTGTATTTACAGAATCTTTTTCCAACATATTTTTATCCTCACAATTTATTAGTAATTTTTCAATATTTTTTTTATGATTCAATTCCTTTAAAATTAAGTTTACATCATTCCTTATATTAAAAAGTTTATTTGTATCTGTGTTCACCTGGGATCTATCTGGTACAATTTATACTTGGTCCATCCTAATGGACTATCTTCCAACTAAATTTATGATCTGTAATTCCACTTAAAATCAGGTTCAATTTATTTTCTATTTCCTTTGAAAAATCAGGACATCTTCTCATGCAAATTATTTTCCTTGTTGGTAGGCCTAACCGAAATTCTACTATTTATTCTCTTCTTTTATTTCTTTGAATTAGACACTTGATAAATGTTAATGAAATATATAAAATAAAAAAATATACAGCTACCATGATTACCAGTTACATTAAATCAACATTCTTTTTACTAAAAATTTTTTAAAAAAATCTCTTATATTATGCCCAATATTATAATTCCTACTGAATACCATTTCATAATTTATAATTAACAATTTTATTTCGACAAATCAATCCTTTATTTTACTAGTTTACACTGAGTTGTGAAAGTTTAAAAATAAGATTTTTTATCCTTAAAGACCAAATTGGAATATATCGTTTATATCGAATTGGGAACTTAAATGTCCCAGAATTTTAGACGATCACAAAATATAGAATATTCCAAAAAATCCTTGGTCATGGTCAATAAAACGCTCAATGTTTTATTGATTCCTTTGTTAGGGGAGACTGGGGCTAGTTGAACCGATTTTTGCAAGATCGTCGATATCTCCTGTGTTTTATTAGATATAATAAAGAACAATATATGAATCGTTACCTATAACTATGTTCTATAAAGGTGACTTAAAAAATTTAAGAATATAATTATATTTTTGAAATTTTATTTTTTGAAAAGTGGAAATTTTGACTAACAAGTCCCAATAGCGGGATAGAGCAAACCACTTCAAGGGGCTGCCTAAACCCTTGGTTTTTTAGGCTATAATGAATTGAAATGCATTTTTATTTATTAATAAAGATACGCATAGAATAAATTTATTGTAGCGATGTGTGGATTTCTAATTTGTAATACAATAATTCATGTAATAGAAAGGGATTAACTCCCACCGCATTATTTTTGATTTATTAAAACCGAAAGGAAATATTGATTGAGCTTCGGATCATAAATTCAAAGGAATTAACATTGGTAATCGCCCAAATAGTGTGGGTGCAAATATTATATAATAAGTATAAATGGGAAAAGGTAACGTATTGGACAACATAGGTACGAAGTTCCGCTTAAAAATGAAAACGCTTGAAGTGATCCGTCATCAAATTGTTTTATGGGAATTCAACCTTATACAATGATAGTGTAATCCTGTTTAAGATATATCAAAACCAAAGAGGGGAAAAATTAATATTTATAAATTATATATATATGTTGTAAACACAAAAGAAAACATTATTGAAATCAAGTTTTAAAACTACATCTGGGAAAGCTATATGCAATAGTTATACGACAGATAAACGGAAATTTCTGCGCCTCCAGGAACACCATATACTAATTGTAGTGGCTACAGGAATGAGGAAAAGATTTGCTTGATATGTGAAGCAATGAATTTTGAATGGGCTATTCGAAAGAAAGAACTAACGCTTTTTCTTTTGGGATGGTTTAAACCCAATTTATTAATTTGAAAATTTTTCAGAATCATAAAACATAAATTAATTATTTCTGGATGATATTTATAAGTGGGGTAATCATGATTGGCCATAGAATAGTTGGTCCTATTAATTATTGCATATTTTTTTTTTATTTTGATTAAAACAAATGGAAATAATTTTTAATGAATTTTATCAATCTAAAATATTATTTTTAATATAATATACTTAAATAATATTTTATATTAATTTTTTTCTATGAAAATTCAAATATATCATAAAATATCTAAATTCTAGTGCTGTAAACGTTACCACAAAAAAGGCACGCGTTACCGTTACTCGTTACCTTTTCAAAAAAGGAACGCGCGTCCGAATTTTTAAAAAAGTAACGGACTACTCGTTACTTAAAAAAATTAAATATATTCAATCTGACAATATATATAATAAAATAAAATTATACAAAAAGAATATATAAGATCGTTTTATAAAAAAAATATTTATATTATTTAATTAAAATATAAATAAAATTATACAAAAGATAACATCTTTATGTAACAATATTTTATTTATTTTTAGCAACAATTGATTTCAAAATTTTGATCAGAAAGATATAAAAAACTCAATATAATACTTTGAACCAAAACCATATTTTGTTAATCTTGGGTTTTTAATGTTGGCTCCCAGCCCAATACTGTAGTATAATTTAATTGCTTATATTTAAGGCTGCGCCAATCCACATATTTTTCACCGATCCGATCCGATATTGCTTCAAACCCGATCCGATATTTATATTGATTTTTCACCACCCCCCTTTGAACCAAATGTAATTATGAAATAAATATTTTTTTATGCAAAAAATCATTATGCATTTAATTTAATTTTTTTATTTCTACAATTAAGACTATAATTTAAAAAACATATATTTGATCATATATCCATTATAAGTTAGTATGAATTATAAAATTGTATTTAATATATAAAATTATAATATATTAGATTTTTTTTAATAAATACGAGAGCCTCTAGATTTTCTGGTAATAAGTTTCTACGATATGGAGTATCTATAGCCCCTGACGTACTGAAGGTAAACTCACATAATTCCGCAATAACGCATTTTGCAAAATTATCTTTGTCTTTTGTAAAATATTTCCATAATTCAGATACCATATTTTAAAATATTCTTTTATTTAAAGTAAAAATAATAAAATTGACGTTATTATTTAAAAAGATTTAAAATAATTAAAACTTTGGGTGTTCCTTTCTATTTTAATAAAAAAAACTTTTAATATACTATAAATCTAATTTAAAAAAGAATAAAATTTAGAAGGTGTTGTGCATTTGCATTATTTAAAAAAAAATTATTTAGAAAATATTATAATAATGTAAAATAAATATACATAACATAAAATAAAATAACAAAAAAAGAAAAGTAAAAAGATCGGATCGGGGTTTTACAGGTATCGGCCCTTTTTGGAAAACGCTAAATATCGGTGTTGATCCGACCAGATATTTAATATCGATACAGCCCTACTTATATTTTAATTCCATGATTAAGCTTTCCAAAATATTATGAAAGAATATTTTTCTATTATTAAAGTAATGTTTAAAATAATGATATATTAATTTATCTTTTTACCTAAAATGCTTTTTTAAGTTGCTGGACATTGAGGTTGAAATATTTGTGTTGGAATATAATTTACATTTACAAAGTGTAGACTTGATTAGGGCCAGGGAAGGGTTAAATCATCTTCATCTGAAGAAATAAGTACTATGAACATAATATTCTTAAAATAAATTATAAGAATAATAATATCATTATTAATATTTACTTTGAATTTTGATTGAATATTAATTTCGACAGAAAATTTAACAACGAGAATTTAAAATAAAAATGGGGGAAGTGGTTGATGTGAATTGATATGAATTAAAACTCGGCCTAAATTATTTATAATAAGAATTAAAAAATAAAATAATACAATAAAATATGTTTTTCTTTTTGTTAATATTTTTTAAGAAAAAATATAAAGTAATGAGTAACATTTTGCGTTACCGTTACTCAAAAAAAGAAACGCGTTATCGTAAGAGGTAACGAATAGGGATGTAAATTTCCCGGGAAACTATATTTCGGGGAAATTTCCCGGGAAATATGGGGAAAAAACGGGAAACTATCTTTTTTATAATACTTTACAGGTCAATATTGATTTTTTTTATGTTTTATTGAAAATATATAGATTATAAACATTATAATTAAACAAATATAAATTATTTTCAACTAATTTGCAATTACTTTACATGTTTTATTTGAAATATTATATATAGACTAAATAATATTTAAACAATTAATTTTGAATAGTTAATTATCTTCGTTTGAAGATGAAAATGATTCCAGATCAGAGCTTGAAATTCTGGAATCCAGCAATTTGTCATTTTCAGAAATTTCCTTTCCCATAAAATGTAGATTGGCTCTTATATAAACTAATTTTTTTATTCTATTTCTAGATTTAGAATGAATATTTCCAAAGGAGGACCATATTCTTTCGGATGCTGCCTAGGGTCGATATGTATTGATTGCAACATAGACCTAATAAAATATTGAATAACACAATTTTAAGATTAGAAAAAGAGTTAAGTTATTGTTTACAGAAATATAAAAGTATTTAACCTTTCCACCAACTCACTGGATCTGTAAATGATGCGCCTTGCCAAAGACTTGCTAAATTAAAAAAATCTTCCCTTGGACGATATTTGGATAGGTTTCCTATTACTCTTGCAATATAAAATCTAGATATCCAGAAAATCGGTTAATAATATCCAACCCCTTTGCAACTTCATTGTCTCTTAAATTAAATCCGCAAAACCTTGGGTCAAATATATGAGCAGCATAATGAATATCCCGACAACAAAAATTTTTTCGGCTTTCGATAAACTGCTCTATTTCTAAAATCTAGCTCTGCCATATATTTGATATTGTTTTATAAGCGTTAAATGTCTCCCTGATATGAATAAACGCTTGAGGGACATCAGATAATTAACATAACTTAAAATTTCATATATTATTTATAAATTTCATTGGTATTTATTTATAATATAAATATACTTTTCAGACTAGCTATTTAATTTTAACAAGTATCTTCTAAAATTTTGCAAATGTAAATAGGGAAATTGACATAATTCAAAAACAAAACACAATTATAATTTATGATATGAACCACGAGGAAAAAATGATTTTATAAAATCTAATAAAAATCGTATTTATTTTATCATAAGATCATTTTCAAAATTGGGAAACTGTTAATATTATAAAAATCATGTTGATTTAGGCAAAAAACCCTATTATAAAAATTGGGGAAACTATAAAATTCCCGAGAAATATGGGAAATTTCCTCTGTCTTACATCCCTAGTAACGAATGGCGTTCCTTTTCTTCAAAAAAAGTAACGGCGTTAGTAACGACGTTACTTTTGACGTTACTTCACAGCACTACTAAATTCTATTTAATTTACTTAATTATTGCGCTTTATGATATTATCAATAATGAATATATATATAAAGCCTTTAGTATTATATGAATATCAAAAATAAAGTTCATATAATATCTCACAAAACATTATTCATTACAAAATCAATAATAATCAATATATCAATAATATTATTTATACGATCACTAATCAAAAAACAAAATGAACATGTTAACACTATTAAATCAACAAAATAATTATTATATAAAAAAAAACTCTTTATGATATTTATCGCAATTAAATAAGCATATAAAATTTAATGACATTTATGTTTGTTGAACAAAGGCTCTTAATTTATATAACTACACTTTCTAACATGGGATATTTATGTATAGCTAAAAGGATTGCGGCATTTCTAAGACACAGAATTGGTTGATAATAAGGACTAACACACCTAATCGATAAAAAAAACCTATAAAAAGATTTTGTTTGTGGATAAGGATTTTTTTTACCTCCCCTTATTTTATGACAAACTTAATTATTTAAATGATTATTCTTTTGTATTAACTTTATTTTTGTATAGTAACGTGCTATACTATAACTTACATTTGAAAATGAAGTAAAGATTCTCTACTGATATGAGTCGTATGCTGTGTGTTTAAATTCTCTACCACAACAGTCCTAAGGCTCATCTATCCCCGGATCACTCTAAAATAAAAGATAGATTCCATATTGACATATGTCGCCTCGTTTATTTTTAGGTGCTGCATTACTTAATGATTACTCCATCCATTGAAAATGGTAAAAATTACCTTCTAATCCTAACCTAGAGCTAGCCGGTGCACCTTATGACTTACCTCGCCCCCTCTATGTCCCATACGCTAATTAATGATATGACCTTAAATGTGACACTTTCAATATTAAAAAACGATAACACATTATCCCTTTGTTCTGTTACAAATATCCTGAATATACATCACGCAAATCACAGCTATTCAAATCAAACTTTTTTCAAATATAATAATAATATAATCAAATCTCAAGAGTGCATACAATAAGGAGACCACTTAGGACCCGCCTTTATTTGCTTTGGTATCCACAAAATAATTGAGGAAATTTAATCTACTTCTAACCTTACCTTAAATTCCTGTGTTGAGGGCATCTTTGCTGGCAACCTTTCCACAATCTTTTCTATCCCATCCATAATCGAGAAATTTTACATATTGCAGGTCTTTCACTCAATCCCCTTAAGTGTAAGTTTCCTAAATCCTACATCCATTTCATTAGACATATATACCACGTCATCAACAAGGATGAGATGAAACATTTCTAAGCACCTATCGGGTGAGTAAAAGCCATGGCATGTTTTAACATAGCCCTCAGAAATTTGTCTTATGTCAATCCTTTATTTTAAATTAAAAACTATTATCTTCCAGCCTCTAGCATTAAAAAAAACTAGGGTGCTTCTTTGATTGCTCGTTCTGACG